CGCGGCCCCCCCCGTCCAGGTCCAGGGGAGGGGGTAGGGGGAGGGGTAAACCCCTCCCCAAGGGGGAAGAGGGAGGGGTGGAAGAGGATCTGCTCTAGACCACCTACGCCCAGAGGGCTGGTGGGATTCGACCCTCCCGCTTGAAGAGTGCCCAGGAGGCCCCAAGGAGCCCCCAAGAGGCCCCAGGAGGCCCCCGAAAGTCACCCAGGAGGCCCAAACAAGGCTTCGAGAGGCCAGAAAACAAACTCGAGGAGGCCCCACCACGGTCCCAAAACGGCTACCCAGAAGCTACCATCAGGCCCATCCAAGCCCGCAGAGACAGGCGGGCCTCCCCAGCCACATGATTTTGTCGGTCCTCGGGTCGCGGCGTGTCGTGCCGCCTCAACCGCGCTCCTTTGGCGGGCCGATCCCCCTCTTCCTCCCCTTCCTTTTCCTCCTCCTCCTCCTCCTCCTCCTCCTGCTCCTGCTCCTCCCCCTCCTGCTCCTCATCTTCCTCCTCCTCCTCCTCCTCCTTCTCATCCTCCTCCTCCTGCTCCTGCTCTCCCACCTCCTCCTCCTCCTCCTCCTCCTCTTCCTCCTCCTCCTCCTCCTCCTCCTCCTCCTCCTCCTTTTCCTCTTCTCCTCCTCCTCCTCCTCCTCTTCCTCTTCTTCCGTCAAGGAACGTCTCAGGATGAAGAGCCGTCCCCGGGGAAAGGGTCGGGACTTCGGGGGCCGCGTATTGACAAATCAGGACGTCGCATGTCTGTGCTATCCACGTCCCAGTTCCCGCGCGTCGGCGTCCCGAGGATCGCAGCGACACGCTATCCACTCGCGTGGGCCGTAGCGTGTCGCCAGGGCCGCCCTCGCGACATGCGACAGAGACGTTCCTGGCCGTAGCCTTTGAGGTGGGGCGGAGGGGGGGGGTCAGGGCCTAAGTTGGGCCCCGTTTTGGAGCCTGACCCCCCCATTGGGTGTTTTAATCGTGCTCCGCCTCTGGCTTCTGTGTTTCACGTGGTACCGCCGTGGAGCCCTGGGTTTTTGGTCCTGGGCTGAAGGTCGCGGACCGTCCCTTGGGAGAGTTCCTGCGTGGACGTCGGCTGTGGTAGGGTTTCACGAGACCCACCGCTCTGTCGCACGCTGAGGACACTGAGGAGCCGAGGAACGCTGCGAGCTACGTCGCTCAGAGTCTGGCCGCTGCAATACCCCGACATCTGGCGCTCCAGTCTTTCTGATGCGTGGACCCCCAGAGGTCTGGCCACCTTCCCTACGGCCAGTTTTTTCAGCGTGAGTCGTTGCCTGACGGTCCCGGGTCCAGTTGATAGCCCCCTGAGGTCGACAACGGACAAACTCCCGTGCGCCCGCGCGCCTCGCCGCTTTTGTCCGCCCCTCGCCGTCCTCGACCTCGGCCTCTGTCGCTTTGGGCGAGCCCTAGCTGACCAAAGATGACCGCCGACAAATCCCCAGAGAACCACGAAAAAAGAGGCTCCAAGAGGCCCCGAATAGGCCCCCAGGAAGCCCCAACCTCCAGTCCCAGGCTTTGGCGTGCCCCCGAGTGCCTTTCTGTTTCCCTCATCCCTCGTTGTCCGTTCTTCTGGATATCTCTCTTGTTATTGGGTGGCTTGCAGCTCACGTTCCACATCCTTCTCTTTTCTCTCCACCTCCCTCCTCCCCGCTGCGTCCCTTTCCCTCATTCCTCCACCTCGTCTCTCCTTCACGCCTTCTTCTATCCGCCTCCCTCATGCTGTTTCGGCCCCTCCATCCCTCATCCCCATCTCTCCGTCACTTCTTCCTCCCTCCGCCTCCCTCGCCCAGCATCCTGCACCACCATGTGGTAGGAGACCCAGCTTGACAACAAAAGGGGAAATCCTCAAACCCTTTTTTCAACGTCTCCCCCCTTTGTTTCCTCCTGTCCCAGAATTTGGCGTGCCCCCGAGTGCGTTTCCGCTTCCCCCCAGCACTCGCCGCCTTTTCTCCTTGATCATTATTTCTTGCTCTTGGTTTTCCTGCGCCTCCCGTTTCACATCCACCTCCTATCTCGCTTCTTCTCTCCTCCCCCCTGTGTCATTTTCCTTCCTACCTCTCTCAGCCTCCCTCATGCGTTTCCGTCTTCCACACCCTTCGCTGTTTGTTCTCCCGGATCTCTCCCTTTCTCTCGGTTCTCCTGCGTTTCCCGTTCTTCGTCCTCATTCATCTCCCACTCCCTTCTCCCCGCTGCGTCCGTTGCCCTCTTCCATCCTCGTCGTTTCTCCTTCACGCCTGGTTGTTCAATGATTTTGACCCCTCGAGCGCTTACCCGTAGCTCTTGGGGGACTCGTGGAGGTCTCTTGGGGCGATATTGGGTTCTCCTCGGGGCCTCCAGAGCCACCTTGGAAAAAGTATTACCCCCACGTTCTTGTTTTCATGGTCGACCCCCCTCATCGGTTCCCTCCTGTCCCAGGTTTCTGCGTGCCCCCGAGTGCCTTTTCTGTTTCCCTCATCCCTCGTTGTCTGTTATATTTGCTCTCTCTGTCTCTCTCTCTCTCTATCTCTCTCTCTCTCTCTCTCTCTCTCCTGCTCTTGGGTTTCGTGCGCCTCACTTTCCACATGTTTCTTCTTCCTCTCCGCCTCCCTCCTCCCGCTGAGTCGTGTTCCCTCCTCCCTCCACCTCGTCTCTCCTTCACGCCTTCTTCCTTCCCCCTCACTCATGCGTTTCCGTCTTCCCGCTCCCTCATCCTCATCTCTCCTTCATTCCTTCCTCCCTCCGCCGCCCTCACCCAGCATCCTGCCCCACTCAGTGGTGGGAGGCCCAGCTTGCAAAGAAAAGGATTTCCCCAAATGTTTGTTTCAAGGCCCTCCCCCTCTGTTTCCTCCAGTCCCAGGCTTTGGTGTGCCCCCGAGAGCGGTTCCGTGTTCCCCATTCTTCGCTGCCCGTTGTCCCTGATCGTTGTTTTCTTGTTGTTGGTTCTCTTGCGCCTCCCGTTCCACATCCACCTCTTTTTTTCCTGTTCCTCTCCTCCGCGCTGCGTCATTGTCCCCCCTCCATCTTCCTCGTCTCTCCTTCACGCCTTCGTCTCTCCCCCTCCCTCCTGCGTGTCTGTGTCCCCCACCCCTCACTGTTCGTTCTCCCCGATCTCTCCCTTGTCCCTGGTTCTCTTGCGTATCTCGTTCCACGTCCTCCTCGCTCTCCCAGCCCCCCCCCCCCTTGCTTCCTCTTGTCCCAGGCTTTGGCGTGCGTGCCCCAGAGCGTGTTTCCGGTTTCCCCATCCCTCGTTGTCAGTCTCCGCTTGCTTCCTTCACGTTGCGTCATTTTCTCTCTTCCCTCCCCATCGTCTCTCCTTCACGCCTTCCTCTCTCCGCCCCCCTCATGCTGTTTCGGCTTCCCAACGCTGCAACACGGCCCAAGAGGTCCCCAAGACAGCACCAAGACAGCCCATGAGATCTCCGCGACGGCCCGAATACGACGAAAGAGAGCGCCAAGACGGCCCCAGATGCCGTCACGACGGCCAAGAGGCCCTCAAGACG